TTCTGACCAGTGCTGGAGAAATAGCTGCAACTGCTCAACCCTTAGATTGTCCCTTCCTATGATAGCTGTCATCCATCTGTTCTGTCACACAAAATATACTATAAATTAGGCTTCAGTTTTAAAGAGACCAATATAATCATAGTAAATGTAAATCTTTGGTCTTAAAACTTTTTTGATAAATTCCAACCAGTGACAACAGGAAGAGTCTTTTGTCTTCCATTTCCAAAAATAGACAAAACAAATTCTCCTGGCAACCTGGTTGTGTTCTAAAAAGAATGGATCTAGTAATCAGTAGATTTATCAACTAGCTTCTAAGGAACAGAATGTGGCAGAGGCTATGAACTGTCCCTGCCAATATGAGGTTGCAATATCAATAGTAATCAATATCTATACTAATAAAAGCCTTGGTGGCCCTCGTGCCCTCACATCATCACAAGATGGCCACCCCCACATCGTCACAAGATAGCCATCACAAGATGGCCACCACAAGATGGCCGGCAGGGGAGGGCAGTTGGGGGCGAACAGGCCGGCAGGGGAGGGCAGTTGGGGGTGACCAGACTGGCAGGTGAGTGCTCTTGGGGGCAATCGGGCCAGCAGGGGAGGGCAGTTGGGGGCTATTGGGCTGGCAGGGGAATAGTTAGGTGTCAATCAGGCCGGCAGGGGAGCGGTTAGGAGGTGATCAGGCTGGCAGGCAAAAGCAGTTAGGGGCAATCAGGCAGGCAGGCATGTGAGTGGTTAGGAGCTAGCAGTCCCAGATTATGAGAGGGATGTATGACTGCCGGTTTAGGCCCAATCCCAATCTAAACTGGCAGTCGGACATCCCCCGAGGGGTCCCAGATTGGAGAGGGTGCAGGCTGGGCTGAGGCCCCCCCCCCCCCAGTGCACGAATATCATGCACCGGGTCTCTAGTATACATATAAGAGAGCAAATGTGGAGACATGTCAAGCCATTTCATCAAACCTGTTTCTTAAAACTTCATCCCCTATAATGAAAACACAGACATTAACACACCAAAGCAAAACAAAGAAAATGAAAAATCTCTTTCATAGGACTACAACAAACTTGGATTTTTATGTTCAGTGTATTTTATATGTTATCTTTTATATTTTTGGCTAAAGATGTTAGACTGAATCTTAAATTCTGATCAATACACAAACATTCTTGATTAAAATATAATTAAAATTTTAATGAAATTTAATTCATTTGAAATGTAAATTTTAAAATCTTGATTTATAATGTTTCATAGGAAAACCTTTTTTGAGGTAGGAATGAAGATAATTATGTTTGCTTCTTCTCCCCAGTCAGTTTAGATTCTGAACTAAAGGGGGGTTCACTTGGGGAAAGTGCTGACAGTGTTCCTAGGACCGGAGGGAATACCCTATACTCATATTGAAAAAGAAATAAAGATGGCAAATTCAAAAGCATTAAATTCCAAGTCATTCATTCATAATTCAACAGACATACTAAATTTATTATATGCTAGGTGCTCTTTTGGTGCTAGGGATATAACAGTGAATGACTTACACAAAATATCCTTAGTTATGGAGCTATTTTGGCATGGAATACATGTGCCAGATAATAAATAAATAGATGTTAGGTAGTACTAAGTGCTATTATCATAATAAAACAAGATGATGCGATTAGATGATGGGAGTAGAAGGGTAGAGAATGGCCAGTTTTGTCTGTGTGGTGTCTCAGGTATCTGATGTACTCCAGAAGAAAACTGTTTGATCCACAGTGTTTTAAACAGGTTTTTAATTAATTGCCAATTTTTAATATTTGGGAGATTTCACATAAAATCCAGAGTTTTACCTTCTCTTAAAAAATCAGAAGATATAATTATGGTGGATCGGTATTTCTGTATGGCAGCAATTTTCCTTTCAATGGGAAATGTCTCTCTTTTCTTCATAAGCCCTGCTTTCCTAGCAGAGCTGCTGCTCTCATTTGCATTACTGGCCGGCTTCTGAATTCTGAAGAATTTTCAAGTCCTGCGCTAGTCAAAGACCAGGTGCCAAGATATGGTGTGGAATGGATCCAGGGCATCTAGAAAGTCATGAGCTGAGGGGCAGAGGGGAGCGGGCCTGGACACCTACTAGTATGTGGACATCTGAGATCACTCTTTTGTCTTGTCCTAATACGTCCCATGTTGTCCCAATATAATATGGGCTTGTAATGGTATACAGAGTCCGTTTTTGAAAAGTGTACAGGGTGGACCAGAGAGTTTAGTATGATGGATAAAGGAATGAACTGGTAGCCAGGTTCTGCTGCTATGAGGCAATATAATTTCACATGATCACATGTTTTTACATGATCATACATTTTTCTAAAATGGGCAAAGTGAGATATTTTAACCACTGTTTTCTTTCCACTCAGACTTCTGATCTGTTAGACTTTCCCTAGTATCAGATGGCATTGGCATGGCAATGGCATTTTTAGAAGCCAGCTGAGGAAAATTGAGTTGGGAATATGTCACTTTAACTGCAGTATTTGGAAAGTCATTTTGGAATGTTTTAGCAAAACTAGCCAGGAATGGTAGATTTTTAATTTGGAAATATATGAAGACTAGGCTCTTTGCCAGTTTTAAACTTATTAAAGAACTGATAAAAATTCTGATAATAATGGCATATGAAACAAAAGGGATAAAGAAGAACAGTAAAATCAATGGAAAGTATTCTGATATTGGGCAAATGGTGACAAGAATATTTACAGAGAGTGCGGGGAGCGCGCGGGCGCCGCGGGAGCCTGGGACAGGAGGTGCGTGCGGGGCCGGGGGACAGGCCCCACGACCAACCAAATCCGCCTGCCAAGAAGGGGGCGCGAGCCCGGGAGGACCGGACCCCACGCGGGAGCAGCGCGCCATCGGGACTGGCTCGGCCTGGCCTGCAACTCTGGGGCCGCAGCAGGCGGCTCCGGCGACCCACGTGGATGCCCCTGTGTCCCCTGCCTCTGCCCCTCCAGGAATCAAAGCTTGACTCCCATTCGTGGACAAACAGACCTACAACTCCTGGTGTGGTGAGAGAGTGCGATTTGCTGTCCTGGATTAGAAAAGCAAGTCAGTGAGCGAGGGCCCTGACTCTTCGTCAGCGAGAGAGAGATGGAAGCCTTACATTCTGGGCATAAAAAGAGGGTCCTTCCCTCCCGGATGACAGCCCAGGGGTCTGAGAAGAGAATGTTGCTGGTGAAGACCCGGAAGAGGAGGAGAATGGCAGCGGTGCCTGGGCTGCAGCCAGACGTCCCGCAGTGAAGCCCAACTTGTCAATGTTGCTCTGGGGGTCCTGATCGAGAACTGAAACCTGGAAAAGGCCTTGGAGCAGCTGCCCTGGCAGGCACTGATCAGCCAGAGCTGTCCCCCACCTGCTCAGAGGGGCCGGCTTTTCCCGAGAGAAGTGAGGGTGAGGACAGTGGGGAAGCAGCCCTCCCCGCAGGCCTGGGCGGCCTCACGGGTCTGCAGGCTTGGAGCCTGCCTGCAGCAGCAGCCCTGAGGAAGACCAGGATGCGTTCAAGTACAGGGAGACAGTCTTCAGCTGAGGGACAGGTTCCCAGGACGTTAGGAAGGGGCTTTGGCTCGCCTGGGGACTGCTCCCAGCTCCATACCCTTGGGCTTGCAGCCAGAAGCCAAGGACACTCAGCCTTGGGAAGTGAGGGATCTGAATGAACTGCCATTAGACTTCCCCTCTGCCTTGTCCTCCCCGGCACAGGGGTCTGCAATCCCCATGTCTGTGTATTCAGTGACCAGGCTCCAGGGAAAATGAGGTCGCAGTGTCAGACGTACTGGCATCAAGGGATCAATTTAATACCTTTCAAACAGAAAAAGGTATGGCTGCTAAATACACCAGAATTGTCCAGTTTAGGCAGCACCATCTCTCTGTGAGGAGGAAGCCGAATTTAGAGTTTCCCTCACAGGCAGCCAGTCAATCCCTGAGCCTCCCTCATAGCCCTGAAGACATTCTGCCCACAGTGCTCTGCTCTGTCTGGGAGCTTAGCGCTCCCGGGGTACCTTTGGTCCAAGCCTTCTACCATCAAACAGGCCTCTTCTCCTGAGCTGCCCCCTTCCTTCTACTTGGTGGCTTTGGCCTTGATCCCTGGCCACGCTGAAAGTGCATGTGGGACAGGCTCCCAAAGTGGACGCTAAGGACAACAGGTCAGGGCAGAGACCACATTGCCTCTGTATTCAGTGTGGCTTTTGGCAGGCAGAGAGTGAGGCGACCATTGCTATACAGCTTTTCAATATACAGTGCTGAAAAGTACAATTCCCCATGCAGAAGTGGTGCTTGTATCCTTTCTAGGTCTAGCTTGAGCAGTGAAGGGATGCAGCATTTGTGGAACCATTCAGTCCTGTTCACCCTCCCTGACACCCCCCCACCCCACCCCCCAGGTTTCAGCATGCTCTGCTCCCGGACTCCCAGGTCGTGCCAACTCACTCCCCTGCTGTCTGGCTTGGGGTCCAGCAGCCTTAGGAGAACTTCAGAGACTCCCTCTGAGATCTCTCCTGTGCCTTTGGGAGTGGTGTCTTGGGGAGGGAGGGGGAAGGGAGAAGCTTGCTAACCAGGGCCCCGGGGACACTGAGGTGCCCTCAGTGTTCCCCATTTGTCACCATGAACCTTCCCAGGGTCTCAGTTTGGCCTTTGACCAATCATCCTGGAAATCTGGCCCTGGGACAGGAACCCTTCTCTGGCCAACATCCTGAGAATGAAGTAAGAATGGTTTGCTTAGATCAGTTAATTACAGCAGGCATTCTCGTGACAAGGAGCTACGTGGTGTTAGCAGTCCCAAAGGACAGACAAGCCAACACTAAGAAGCCGCAGGGCCCAGTCACCCTTACTGCCCGGGCCTCCTTCATGCTGGGTGCCCCTTCCTCAGTGGGGCCCATCTGCTCAAGCTTGAGATCGGTATCAGCTATGATGCAGGGTGGCTGAGAAAACAACAACTCATGAGTCCTCTGGCACCTATCTGAGCCTCCTTCAAACAGCCCTGGCAGTCGTGTGAGCCTTTGGACAGGACTAGTGTCTCTTCTGCTTGCTCTTGTCATCTTCTGCCTTTTGGGGGAACATGACTGTGGCCATAAGCAAGAGGACCAGCAAGGCCTGGGCAGCGGCCAGAGCTAGAAATCCAGGCCCCAGGAGGGAGGGCGTGATCCACTTCCAGGTGTAGGTGAGGAAGAGGCCCAGGCCCCCGGCCAGCAGCATGGAGGCCATCGCGAGGAAGCACACTGCCAGATGCCACTCACCCTCGCTCCTGTGGCAGCGGGCCAGGAGCAGAGACAGGGGGACAAAGAGGGTGAGGACCAGGGCCCCGTACACGCCGAGCCTGGCCAGGGACAGGGTGCCCCAAGGCAGCCCCAGGGACTCCAGCTCAGGGAACTGGTGGCACTGCAGGCGGCCCGCACTCTCGTTCCACAGGCAGAAGTTGTAAAAGCCGATTCTCAGGTTGGGCAAGTTGATGAGGTCGCCCGCCTGCCAGAGGAGAGCGTAGAACAGCAGGAAGATGGCCAGGACCGTGAGGACCATAATGCACAGGAACAGCAGCTGGTCGCCCCGCCTGGGTCTGGGGAGGCTCATCATCTCTTGTTCTTGGCAGGGCCACCCTCCTGGGAACCTGAAGGAAGTCACATCAGTCACATCAGTGTCCAGCTCTCCCTTTCTCCCTCCCAGTTTCTTCACAAGCTCATGCTCTCCTTTCTGGAATTCCATAAAAACCTGTGGCAAACTCCCACCCTCTCCCACTGCCGCCTCCAAGGAGTGTGAGGTCACTTGTCGCCAGGACAGGCTCTCCAGGCAGCTCTGAGTGCCTCAGACATGCAGCGTAGACACCACAAGCCCCTGAAGACATTTGTGAGGTTTCTCAGACCCCTTGCCTAGGGGCTTGAAGGAAGAGGCAGATGCTGAGAGTCCTGGCGACCCCTAGGACCACACGGGAGCTGTAAGGATGACCATCACTGGGCCACAAGCCAGTTAACTCAGAACTTCTGGGGTTGGGGCAGGCGCTGGTGTTCTAGTGTTATGCCCAGAGTTCGGGGTCCCCAGTAATCAACCACCAGGGAGCCTTTTCTGATGCAAAAGCGAAGAGTCTTTATGCAAACCCGGGTTTGGCTCCCAGCCTCTTTCGGACAACGCAGCGGCGAGACAAGAGACCAGAGTCCCAGGAGAACAAAGGTTATATAGGGCTCTTCATCTGGGTGGGCTTAGGTAAGTGACGTGAGTTACAGAGATTGGTCACTCTGGTCAGGGTTTTTCAGCAGGGTCTTACAGCACAAAGGTCAGGAAGTGACCAGCACATTCTGAGGCTTGAGCCGTCCCCCACTATAGCCTTATTAGGACCTTAGCTGCACTCCTGGAGCTTCATTGGTCCACTCAGGTGGTGGTTGGGGGAGTTAGGACAGTACTGGCATTCTTGTGGTCACTCTCAGAAAAGGGAGGGGGCTTAGGCTGAGGGCCCAGCCCTACAAGACAAGATGGAGGAAAGTTCTTTGTCCTTCCACTAGCAGCTCTGCTGCTCCTAGCCTGAGCAGGGCTGAGGACCACCAGAGTCCCTGCCTGCTCTGGGAATGCATTACTGGGCTAAGACAAGATGCTACCTGGTGATGAAATCACATCATTTTAGAACAACTACAGTATTTTTTTTCCTGACAACACTAATATATGTTGATTATTTTTTTTAAATCTTGAAAAATATTTTTTAAAAGAAAAATATATAAAAACAACCTTTTTTCCCACCACATACGGTAGAACCACTGTTAATCTACCAATATTCAGATTTGTAAATAATCATACCATTAAGCATAATGCTTTTCTTACTGAATATTAGGCACATTTTTCAAAGCTGTTTAATATTCTTCAAAAACATAGTCAATGGCTGTATGATAGTTCACGTCACAGAATTACCCATTGCATTATTATTGGACAAATAGTTTTCATTTTTCACCATTATAATCGATAGTCAAGGTAAGTGCTAACTATGTAGCAGTGCAATTATTGTGTCAAAGGGAGAATCCTCTTTAGTGATTTTATTGCATATTGCCAAATTGACCTACAGAAAACTTGCCTAACCCTCCTCACCATTTTTGAAAAATCCTTTCACTACATTTTAAATCAGTAGGACTTTTCCCAGTCGGCATCTAAAATAGTCTGCACACTGTATATAATTTTTCCAACACGGGACAGAACAGCCCTTTACACAGTGAAGTGCCCAGGAAGCAGTGCGGGAAAACCTGACGAGACACAGGATGCTGAGGCCAGAATGCAGAGGGGCGTCTGTCCTGTTGGTCCCCCAGCCAGGAGAGCCAGGTGGCAGTCAGCAGTGAAGTGAGCAGTGGCCATTGGTGGCCCTGGGGAGAGGTCCCAAGACACAGCCCTGGAGATGAACTTGTGAAGGGACCCCTCATGGGAGTAGTCCCTCTTTACTAGAGTGGACTGGAGGGTCCTGACCACACCCCACATCTGCTCTGCAAGAGCTGAAAGGGAGCAAATGGAAAAGAACAATCTGAAGGAACAGGATGTGGGACAGGCAGAGGGAGAGGACGGCATCTTAGTCCCTATGGCTGCTGTAACAGAATGCCATAGACGGGGCGGCTTCTAAAGAACAGAAATTTATTCCTCACGTTTCTGGAGGCTGGATGTCCAAGTTCAAGGTGCCTGCAGACTCCGAGTGGTTCAGAGATGACCCCTCTTTGTGTCCTCGTGGTGAAAGGCACAAGGGAGCTAGCTCTCTGGAGCCTTTTTATAACAATCCCATTCCCAAGGGCTCCACCCTCATGACCTAATCACCTCCCTAGGGCCCGACCTCCTAATATCACATTAGAAATCAGGTTTCAACATGTGAGGCGGGGGAGGGGCTCAAACATTCAGTCTGGCAGGTGGCTCCATTCAAAGGACCTGAGTGAATTCGAATAATGAGAATAAAGATTTATCAGCGACTCCTGGGACAGAGACCCAGGGATATTGCCTGGGGGTGAAGCAGGTGCCTCTTAGGACAGGAACCTAAACCTAAGCACACAGGGAGGGCTCACATCCATGCTTCCACCACCTGACCACGGTCTTCTGCCCATAGCATCTGCAAACTGGGCCAGGGAGCTCTGACATGGAGGTGAGGGCCAGCTCAGCGGAGCCCGAGGAGTTGCCCCTGCAGTCACTGATCCTCAGTCTCTGGAGGCCTGAATTAGTGAAACCGAGAAGCTGAAGGCCCCATTTGAAGGTGGTTGGGTGATTCCTGCAGCTATGACGCCAGCTACAGATTTATCGAATGAAAATGGTGTCTTTAGTCCATTCTTTATCAGATTGAGGTAACAGAAGTTTTAACCAGTTAGGGCCCATCCGGGAGAAATTCCCAGCAGGGACATATTTTGCATATTTAACAAATGTTTGTATAAGCCTCTATCTGCATGTTTAGTGAATGTTTGTATAAGCCTCTAACTGCATGTTTAGTGAATGTTTGTATAAGCCTCTATCTGCATGTTTAGTGAAGTTAGGTATTTCAGGGTAGAAAATAGATTTCTACAACTGGAACCCAGACTTATGTCCTTGTGCTATAGGAAATAAGGTTTGACTTGCCTTTTGGCTAAATGCTCCTTCTTATTGCTCCTAGATGGAGCCTGTTACATTTGGGTTCAATAAACTTCTCTAAGGCATTGCTAAACTTCTTTACTTGAAAACAGGGCTCCAGGAGGAGATTGCATCAGCCACCTTCCACGCAGCATCTCCAGCCCTTTGTTTCCCACTTCCTGTTTTTCTCTCAACTGACCTTTTGGAGGTTTTCAATAGAGTGAAACAAAAGTGGAACTAAGAAGCCCCTGATCATGTGGAGAAGGTGATAGGTCTCTGGTTCCCTTTGTTCTTCTCGCCTCTCTATGCTTGAAGAGTTGAGTCCCAACTCTGCTGCCTGGGGCTCTCCACCATCAGGCCTGACTTAGAACTTGAACTTGCAATTTTCTAGTGAGGCCCTGCTCCCTTGGGTCTTCCAGTCTTGCTTTGCTTAATCCAGCATCTCTCAGGCTGTCCTCATTCCCGTCTGCCCAACTCCTAAAGTCCTGCCCTGTTTTCTGTTCCTCTAAACCCTACTAATTCCCCCCAGCTTCCCTGGACTACCTCAGCCACACTCTGACTTAGCCCAGAGCTAGAATGTATGCTGTGTTCTCTCCCAGGGATGACTTTCATCTGTTTTCCTCTCTATTTTCTCCCCCAGCATGGGGAAACTCACTTTGTCATTTCATGAACATATCTTAATATGAACATATCTTAACAAGATACCTTGAGGGGAGGGTGCTGTGACCTGCACAGCTAGGGTTCAGGATCTGAAGGAGGGGCCGATGCACAAATGAAAACATTAGACAAGAAATATGAACTTGAAAGGCATGGGAAGCCAGGTGGAGACCTCTCCCTTGGAGAGGCAGATCGAAACCTGGCCTTATCTGCTTTTTATTCAGTTTTAGATACACACCTTGCCCTCAGTAAAGCATGGCAAACAGGTAGCAGACAGACTGTCTCTAAGGCCAATAAAGATCAGTAAAGATCAGTAAGGTCCAGTAAACATATACTTTGAGGTCATTAGGTCAGGAAATTGCTTTGAGTCACCACTATCTCAACACAGCCCTATTAACGCTCAAGGTCCATCAGCCTTCTGTGTTCCTTGGTGCACTCTCATGACAGTATTGGGAAAGTGATGGCTTCCCGCAGGAGGGCCTGTGTTCTATGTCTCACACATACTCAACACTGTGCTGGGCTGGCCCCTGGGACTTACTAATACAGCCTCCGGGAACTCGTAGACAGAGAGGTTAGAGTAGGGGTGGGCAAACTTTTTGACTCGAGGGCCACAATGGGTTCTTAAACTGGACCGGAGGGCCGGAACAAAAGCATGGATGGAGTGTTTGTGTGAACTAATATAAATTCAAAGTAAACATCATTACATAAAAGGGTATGGTCTTTTTTTTTTTAGTTTTATTCATTTCAAACAGGCCGGATCCGGCCCGCGGGCTGTAGTTTGCCCACGGCTGGGTTAGAGGCTCATCCTGGCTTCCTTTTCTAAACCTTTCACAGTGACAGTGGATGGACATTTGGTTGGGAAACCCCATGGCACTCTTCTTCTCGGCTGTCCTAAGATGTCCTAGGAGCCTACCCTGTTGTGTTTTTGTTTGTTTGTTTGTTTTGGGCTTTTAAGAATCATAGTAATCATTGTAATCACAACTATGAGCCTTTTAATCCCCTTTAATGATAAGCCTGTGCTTCCTTCAGAGGGCAAGGGGGAGACTGCTGAATCATTGTTGCCATTTTTAGGTGAATTGTTTTTTGTTCTAAATAAAGTAAATACATGCTGATGGTAGATAACTAGAAATGTGGAAGTCTGATCCATAACCTCAGGTCATAGAAATAACCACTTTTAACAGGATACATGCACCCCTATGTTCATAGCAGCACACTTTACAATAGCTCAGATTTGGAAACAACCTAAGTGCCCATCAGCAGATGAGTGGATTAAAAAACTGTGGTACATCTACACAGTGGAATACTATGCCACTGTAAAAAAGAAGGAATTCTTTCCATTTGCAACAGCATAGATGGAACTGGATAGCATTATGCTAAGTGAAATAAGCCAGTCAGAG